TTTAATATAGATATCTCTATATAAAATAATCAATTTTAAGGATCAACCATTGCATGTATAGATAAGTGAAAATTCAGAAATTCCAATACTGCCGCGATTAGTAAATTTAAGTACAAATTTAAGGAAAATTTTATCAATACAAAAATTAAATCAAAACTTTGTCATCTTTGAGAGTTACTTTAGTTTTATATGTCAAAATGATCATTTTGAAAAATAAAATTTAATGAAATGATTTTCAATGATTTTTTAGGAAATTAAAAATTTAAATGTGATCTGTTTTGGTTTTTTAATATTGGCATATTATCAAAATTTGAGTATTATATGAAACTCTCAAACTTACACATTCTGCATTAAACTTGGAATGAAAATAACCATGGGAGTGGACCTATTTATAGGGGAAAAATATTCCTTATAAGGTCCACCAAAACGAAAGTGAAGTTTAAATATAAAATTCTTCAAATTTGAAAACATTTAATAAATATTTTAAATCTGCCTTAATCCTCGCAGTCAAATTTGCAATACAAATGCACAAGTAAAACACCTGCATGTGCTATGACTAATATACAAAATAATTGAATACATGGTCCAGTAATGCTGCATAGACATACAATAAATTTAATTGAAATTGACTCATCATGAAAAGTGTGCTTTTAAATGAATAAATATATGTCCTGAAAATGTTGCATTAGTTGACCTAAAATAAATTGAATTCTTAGTAACCCACTTTGAGGAATGTATAATTAGTTTGAAAATTTCATAACTTCTTTTAAAAATTCAAAACTCAAAATGACATGCAGTTGAGTTCTCAAATGGGTCACAAGTCTAATCCTCTATATCACAAAATTTGGAGTGACAATACTTATCTTAAATAAATTTTAAAATAAATTTAAGTCACATGCAAGTTATAAACCTGATCATCTGCAACCAAAAATAGATATAGTTGACAATGACTAAAATAAAATAGTGAAGTTAATCAATTCCCCCAATGATGTTCTTGTTGACATAAAATCTCAATTGGAAGGATTTGTTTAAAAATAAAGCCCTTAAATTTTCAATATAAATTTAAAATATTTTAAAATTTTATCATTTATTGTAACAAACAAAATTCAACCACCCTCCACATCTCGAGGGTGAAAATTTTAAAAGCAACTTGAGTTCATGATGTAATATCGAGTGAATTTTTATAATTACCTTTAAATGATCTTAAGTAGAAACGCGACATGCATCCTTTGTTTGTGGTTTTGTCTCTACTAAATAGCAGTTACAATTAATCTTCTCATCAGGTGACTCATCGCTAAATGACTATTAAATTATTATCATGACCATAGCTTGTATATTGTTTAATGATTTTGCCTGTTAAACTATAAAACATATGATGCACTTGATAATATATGAATTTTTGTTTTAGCTAATGTTAACTTAAGTGCCCATTTAGACAAGCATCCATCTTAGGTATACAAAATTCTCTTGGGCGAAGCAACTCATGACTGCTGAGAAGGATCCTTTGGTCAGGTTAGGTCAACCATTGCATCTAACTGGATAGCTTAGAGATGATAACTTGTGACGATAAAACTATGAGATTCTGAGCAGTTTGGTCACCATCTTTCCCACCATCTGTTTTAAGCTAAGGATGTTAAATTTTTTAAATCCATAACCCAATTTTTATTATCATATGTTGTCGAATCATTTAGCGCTCTAATGAGTGGCTTTAATTGAAATATATCAATTGTTATCAAGAGTTATAATTAATTATAGGAGTTTGTGTCTATGGAAAAACTCCAAATTAATTATAGGAGTTTGTCATTACTCATGCGATGCATCAAGCTTTTGCTTCGTTGTTCTTGTGGTTATGAGAACTCTCCTCTTTTTTGTCGCTCTCACTGTGGATTGCGCAATCACCCATTGTCAAATTAATTTGCTCATTTGCCTGCTCCAATGATTTGTCTCACTCTCTCTCTCTCACTCTCTCTCTCTCATTTGTGTTTATTTTTACTTTTTCTCTCGCTCAACCACATCTGCATTATCTTTCAAAGTATCTTTAAATAAGGCGAAGCTAACTTTTTGCTCAATTGAATAGACATCAACTCATTTTTTTTCCTTTTTAATCGTTCTTTGCGATCTTCCCTTTGATATAATTTCATGAGAGAGAGAGAGAGAGAGAGAGAGAGAGAGATTGATGTATAGATATACAGAGAGACACACACACACATATACATATCTTAATTGAAGTGCTATGGATAACATTCTTGAATCTCTCCTCCAATGTAACATTTTTTCCTTTCTCATGCTTCCATAAAAGTATAAAAAGTATAACTGGATTTCGAAGTTGTTTTATAACATGACTCATTATCTTTTCTGACATCTATTTATTTAAGATGAGATTGATTGTCTATGGAATCTATGACAACTTTACTATATATTTGAAATGTAGATGTCTGAAACACTTTATGCACTCCTTGCATATATTTTAATAAAGCTAGTTGGTGTGTGACATTTTTAATTCATTCAACAATTTCGTTAAGACCTGCATATTATAGGCTTGGGATCACTTTTGTTTTTTATTTATCTTTTGCTTTTATTTTTAGTAGATGTTTGTTTAGTATATTTCTTTGCATTTTATTTTTGTTTTAAAAAATAAATTAACTTGTTTTTAAAAACATCCGAAACAATAAAAAATTATTTTGAGTGTTTTTACTTTAAATAAACAATAAAAAATAACTGAACATATTATACCATGCCAAATATATTTTACTTTAAATCAAAACATAAACAAAACAAAATAAAAACAAAAAACAAGAAAATGTGATGCCAAATGACCCCTTATTTTTTAAATTTCGCCTTAATTTTTAAAATTTGCCAGAATGAGTCACAATCTTCATTGGACTTTGCATGTTAGCCCTTCTTGTGCTTTAGAGTTCCACCTTTAGTCACACTCGCTAGACATGTACTTGTTTCTTATAAGTTATTCATTCCATTTATTTAATATGGTATCTAATCGAGCAATGAGTTTCATTATTTACATCATCTGTGATAAAAGAAAAATGTATTAGATTAGAATGAGAGTTCAAAGTATAATGGGAAATGAGGTAGAGATGATTTACTAATTCATCTTCTTGTTAAGTGTAGATTTGGTTCAAAATCTCCTTGGATACATGTATGATTAAATTTCAAACCCCCACCAATATTTGATATAGTAGTGTTTGCATCTTGATTATCTGAGGGAAGATGAATGCCCTCCTCTTGACTTCCACTGTCAGTCGGCACGCTTGTGCTGCCATCCGCTTTCCTCTTTGTCGGATGAAACCCTCTCTCATAATCCTTAAATGAATGACAAGACAAAATTCTATGAGTACCTCGTGATTTTGGCCAAGTCCGCTGTCTATAAAGGTGGCCTTGAAGAGTCAGTACTCCATGTATTGGCTGATGAAACACAACTTACATTTAGGATCCTTGACATTTGAAATGTTGAGAAATTGTATTTTCTCCTTTTCCTGCACATGAATTAGAGTTGGCAGCTCATGCAAAACCTCTCTTTTTACGAGAAGGTGCAAGCGTTCTTTATAAAGACAAAACCATTGGAACAATTATTTGAAGAACCTTGTTGACAAGTTTAGCTACTTTGTTTTACTCTTTCAAGAGATGCATCCATGAGAATCACACTTAACTTACAATAAATACTCGAGAGTCAACCTAGTCTTTGTACTCTTTGAAGAAAAATTTCGCGTCAAGGACGATCACCATAGCTTTACATAAAAAATTAGTTAAGGTAATCTAGCATGTTATAGATATCTCTCAGTTCATGACCTAGGAAGTAGCTAGCTTGTGTATAAATTCATCTCCAATAGCTCATTGGAAAGTTAGAACTTTTTGCCAAATATTGCTAGGGTATAACTGATGATGGTGGACATAATGTCAAGTGCTGCCACTCAGTTTACTTTTCTTTGATTTTCCTCTACAGTGAATCGTTTCAACTTAGCCATACCTTGAAAGTTTTCCTTTTGATTTTTCACAAAAAAAATCTTGTACCGCAATGCTATAGGATGTTTATCTTTGTTGAATTTTTTTATACGGGTCATTTACTTGCATACCACACAATTCTTATATATTTATTTAATGTGTAAATTTTCATATTTACATATATATAACACTCAAATCTTTAACATTGCATAAAAAATATCACTTTTACTAATTTTTTAAAGGTAAAATGCACCTTTTTACATACAGGTTTATGTCTCGTAAAGTATTTTAAATGTATATATATCAAATTTCATGTGTTAGATATATAAATAAGATTTGTGTGGTATGTATGTATATTTTCCTTTTTATAAATTGTTAAGATTTAACTCTTCCCTGACATGCAAATTTTAACACACAAAAATTTCTCTTATGGCTATTGAAAATCGTCATTTGGTTATGAAACTTCTCATTTATTTGTCTATACACAGAATCATCTCCAAAACATTCCAAATATGACTAGTATGTGGATAAATTCCGTTTACCGTGTTTTCATACATTCTAGTATTGTTTCTATGAACTTTCATTTGCTAATGATGCCTTTCAAATATAGACTTGAAACTATTCAATTTTCCTGTGGCAATGCAAGGAAAATAAACTAGGCCCTTCTATAACGTAAATTTGGTTCTTGCACTCCGCAAAGCTTCTTTACAAACTGTACCTTCTATTTTTATGGAAGATTTACATACATACAATCCAATTCTTATGTATTTACATATTAAACCTAAACTTCAATTTTTACATACTTGCTACATCTCCCTATGCATGAAAATATGCATCACTTTTTAGAACTTAAAAATGGTGGTATTTTTTATTTGATAAGAAAGATTTGGGTGGTATAATGTAAAATTTAAAGTTTAGTTGCTAGATATGCCCTCTTTTTTAACTCTTATTTTGGTTCATTATCGGTATTTGGCATTCCCATTCTCAACGTTTTTTTTTGGCATTTTCAAACTTTTTTTTCCTCATTTATCTCGTTGTTATAGGCCGATGGATTTAATGCAAAAGCTAGAGTTGGTGTAAAAGGCGAACACCGGGCATTGTTGAAAAATGAAATTGTTTTTAAACTAATAAAGAACTGGTTGGGTTTGACGCAGCCATCCCAACAATCAGCACATTTTCAGAAAAAAGTTAAAGTGGTGAATGTTTTTCCTGAGCTGATTCTTGCTAAAGAAAGCTGACAATAAAGCTTCTAAAAGCCTACATTAATCACTCACTCCAAAATAGTTGTGTGACTTTTTGGGTACTTCTTAGCTTCGCTGCACTCATTGGACATCTCTTGTGCCTGCTGCGGCGAAGATTTGACCACAGGTGCTATTATTTGTATTTTTCAGTAATCTTCCCAGCATCAACTTTAATTTGCTTGATAGCATTAAAATAAATTATTTGCTTTGCTTATATTGCAACCAGGATAGTCGCTGTAAAAGAGAAGGTATATTTGGTATTTTGGAAGTATTAAAGAAGTTTGTAATTGTTTCTGTTATAAATCATGATATATTTTCTGTTATTGTTTTTAGCATTATCTGAGAATCTCCTAAGCAGTGCTAATATAGTGAGTGACGTGTTGGAGCTGATATTTGTTATATGAAACTGTTGGGAAGGGAAAATCATAAGACCCTATATAATTCAAATTATTATATTAATATAGGTTAAGGGTTACAATTGTTGCCATCCAAAGAATTAGAGAAGGCATTAATATACATGAATCATGGAAGATATTTTTTTTCTTTATGGTTGGTGTATGGATGTGTAAATAGTTATCATTGGGTGATGATGAGTAACCAATTTAATTGAAAATCAGATTATAGGAAAGGAGGCTGTTGGACGTTGGTTGATGAAATATCAACTATTAGTCGGTGTCTAATAAGGTTTGATGGGGAACATAAAAAATTAGGTGACAATTAGTCAACTTGGTGTTAGATGACTTGGAAGATACCATTGATAGCTAATGATCAAATATTGATCATTATTAGTTGTTTAACAATGGTTGATGCAAAAACATTGAATGTCAACAAAGGTCTGTTCAGATTGGGTGCTTTTGATGGGAGGGGTGACTAGTAGACTAAAATGATAAGAGTTCGGTGATGATAATGATGCGTTAATATTGGTTGATTGATGATGGTTGTTATTGGTAGTGATAATTGTGAATGTTGATTTTGGCCGACCTCCAACATCCAATGGCAATGATGGCTAGTGGTTCTCATCATCAAAAGTATCCTAAATTCATGGAAATATTATATTTACAAGTTTATTGGCTCATCATTCTGACTAAATATGGCAATTATCTTTGTACCATTAGACATTTGGAATATATCACCTTTAATAAAATCAAAATTTAGTAATCTTAGATATGTCAATTGGTATTTTACAAAATCAAAGTTTTAACAAACTTAGATATGTCAAATTTTTTATTACTCATTTTAACAAGATGCATGTAAAATCCTTGTCTTTCAAATTATGTAGTTATTTTTATATCAAATTTCAAATTTTTAAAAAATAAAAAAGTCTCAAATTTTATTTCTAATTTTTTAGTGAATTTAAAATCTAAAGTTTTTATCAAAATTTAAAAATTTTTGCTTGTAAAAATCATATTTCTGATTGCATATAAAATTTATGTGAATATATAATCAAATATTTATGCATGCATATTTATATTAAAAGTTTTATATTTTATCGTTTGCTACTAGAATTATCAAAACATTTTCCTCCAACCATCGACATTAGCATTTTTTTTTATGCATCTGAATTATCAATTCGCCCTGATTCTAACTTATAAAATTTATTAGAATATATAATCAAATATTTATACATGCATATTTATTTTAATAAGTTCTATGCTATTTATATCTTCTGCTACTAGAATTATCAAATATCTGCTAAAAAAAGTAAGGTTCATATAATCCAAAGCATCAACTAAAATTTCAATGCATCTGATAATTATCAATTTGCCCAGATTCTAACTCTGATAATATGTCGAACCGAATAAATGTAATTAAATATGTATAATTTTCCGGAACATATTGGTGGTGGTTTATATTTTGCGTTCATAGTTAAATAAGTTGAATCAGCAAAATCCACATCAATTCATGATGAGATTGTGGCCCAATATTTAGATACTTTTTTTTGGGTCCCTTAAAAGTCTCGTGCACCACAATCACAATTTCAGGGGAACTATGCAATATACAACATGCCTTACTAATAAAAAATAAAATAAAAAATAAAGAATTTAATACCTCAAGCCAACCCTTTATGAATATTAGTACAAAAAATAAAAGTAGTAATAATAAAAACTTGCTCATCTGACGACAAACTATGGATTAGGATCAGCATTTCACTCAAATGAAATACAAATCCGAGAATGCTATTAACCATAAAAAGTAAAAAAGAAAAGGCTTGGAATACACAGTGGCTTAATCTGAATCACCATAAACCTTCTATGCTTATCACATAAGAATTTAGAACAAAACATACAAGGAGAGATAACACAGGCCTGATCTTGTAGCTAAATCTCTTCCTTTTCTAAGCTCCGGGCCCTCCAAGGGTGAGAACCACCCCTTGTAGGTCGCTCTTAAGCCTAGCCGGGGGTTGGGCTTTCATAACCTGGACAGGGTTGGGACGCCTGACATGGTGGCCGCCTTCTTTTAATAAGAAGCTAGTCTGCTGTGGTGGCCTGACATGTTTGGGGATTGATTGAGCTGGAGCTGGGGCTGTAGATTGCTGTGGAACACTTGCGGGGCTTTGAGGTAGCTGTCTTGGAACAGCTACTACACTTGGACCCTGTAGTGAATCCAAAGTGGTAAGTTAGCAGCAGAACAAGATAAGTTTCATTTTTAGATTCGCTTTTTCATTAGTGTTAAGTATTTAACTCGAATCACTCCTACTTAGATGCTAGACATTGGTCTTCTCACCATATCTCTGAAACTTGAGCATATGTCACAGTTCATATGATGGCTTTGATGACATTATCATTGTGAACACCTTTTTACTACTAACCTCATATATTCTTTTTAACTAACATCTTTGTATTTAAAATGAAAAGAACCTTGATTCTATGTATCATTTTTGCTATGCTAATCATGTATTCAATCATGTTTTTATCCACAACTTTTCATGTGAAGGATATAGGCAAAGGGCACTCCTTTAGATGGGGCAAGCTAAAAAATTGTGTATATATGAATAGCCAGAAACTTTGCACTTGTCACCTACACTTGTTTGTTTTTTCTAATGATCAAAGATCATTTGTTCATAATAGCATCAATAGATTAGACCATATATCAACTTCAATCCTCAAGTATATACTATTTCCTAGTTCAATCAAGGCTTGTAATCTCCATCGCTGCCAAGTCTTCTTTATTGTTTCTTATCAGTCACTTGAAATATTATTCTTAGATTTGTGGATCTCATCCATGAAAGCCTATGATGGTTTCAAGTACCATGCTACTTTTGTCGTTCATTATATCAAATACACGAGGTATTATCCACATGCAAAAATCTCATTTTTATATGCTTTCATCAGCTTAAATCTTTTAATAAAAAAAAAGGTTGGAATGCAAATCTAAGCTCTTAATATATTTCTATCAATCAATGGCATCATTTATCTCACTAGCACACCACATACATATAAACATGATAAATAAGAGGAAATTTGTCATCCACATATTATCAAAACTGGTCTGTCTTATGTCTCATACATCCATTCCACCACCTTCATGGATTATGTTTTCTCCTCAATAATCTATATGAACATGATAAATAAGAGGAAAGTTGTCATCGACATGTTATCAAAACTGGTCTGTCTTATGTCTCATACATCCATTCCGCCACCTTCATGGATTATGCTTTCTCCTCAATATTCTATATCATAATTTATTTGCCTACCCACAAAACTTCACCTTTCTTCTCGATACTTACTGCCAATAATTAGGGTGATGTTTATGGTTTGAATGGCATACCCATAAAATTACAATGTAATGAACTTAATACCTTCAACCTTATGGTTTGAATGGCATACCCATAAAATTAGAATGAAATGAACTTTAATACCTTCAACCATTTGTTTACTATGTAGATTATATATGCAACATTTAATTCTTGTTTAGCTCAAGCATGTTTTTTTAATGCTCTGAATAAAATCATAAATTTTTTTTTTATTTTAAAAATAAAAACAAATAAGCGAAAAAGAAAAAAAGATGATATCGAGCATATCTTAAGCATTTCTATTTCTTGATACACTTAGTAATCATAAAATATCTGTAAGAACATTTAGAAAAATTCTCTAAATAAACTGGGAAATAAATACTTTGTTCAACCTTACCGGAGCAAACAAGACTCCCCTGAATATCTGACCCTTAACATTGGCAGTCATGAGGTACCCAGAATCAAAAGATCCATCTACTGTACCGTAAACCTCAGCTCCAATCTACAAAAGTTGTATAATTTGAAACAATACTAATCAATGGAGTTATTTTATCATCATGAAAGCATTTCTTAGTATGAACATATTATTCAAAAGTAGGTTCACCAGATGAGGAATGGCCTGCCTCACAGGCGGCAATTTCTGATCTGATGCCAATAGCTGCATCTCATGTTGTGGAGGAATGACAGCACGAAGAAATTGCTCAGTCTTGGGCAAAATTTTTTGGCCTTTGTTAGAGGAAGAGAGCCTCTGTACTGTATTCTGCTCTTGGTCTGATTGAGATGGTGAAGAGTGTTGAGATATCGAAAGAGAGTGCTCTTCCTGCTCAGCTTCGATGTCAAATACTTTTGAATCATTGACTCTTCTTCTTTTAGCTCGCAAGTTATCTGATTAAAAGATAATAAACAAACTTAATTATTTTTTAGAAACTAAAAGAGAACTATAGTAATTTCAGTAGAGAAAGATCAGGACTGACCTGGGCTGCAAAATATGGAGCCCTTCTGTTCAGCATCCACCTCAGGAGGCCTCCGATTCGAGTTTCCATTCTTCAAAATCACATTTTGCTAATTCATATCAAGGTATTTTTACCATCAATAAGGCAATGTGTTACTTGATAAGCATCATGTAATGCTATTTCCACTCACCAAATTATCTGCTCTTAGAAATTTCTTTTTCTCTTGGCTCCAATGGCTACCAAAAATCTTGCACATCGATACATTGTAGCGACCGTTAGGGTGCTCTGATCCTAATTGCAGTATCAATAGCTCATTCAGCGGCCGCTCATCTTCTCCACAACTGCGAACCGAAATCAGATTCCAATTAGAAATAGCAATCATAAGTTTTATCTGTGGACTTCTCTTAGCTATGCTTGTATACATTGTTAGAGATTCATAATTAACTCATAAAGCCTTTTTAGTAAAACGGTAGGCATTGGCCTTTAGAACTAACCCTCCATAAATAGCAATATCAGCATTCGTGACTACGACAGTATGAGAGAACCGCCCTTGAGGCTGTTGGCCGCGAATTTCAAGCTGAGCCCAAGCACAGGCAGCCACATCCAGTACCCAAACATCACTGTAATATTGCTTATCACCAACTCCACCAATGATGTAAACCTATGAAGAACAAAGCCTCATACATGAGAAAACAAATCTTAGTTACCTCATAAATGGAAACCTTCTCTTCCATGAACTCAATTCATCAATTAGAGACTTGCCTTTCTCCCTATATGAACAGCAGCATGGCCAGCTCTTACTCCAGGAGAAGATCCCTGAACTATTAGCTGTCAAAATAAAAAAGGGGCATTTACATACATAGCACACAATTGTTATGCATTTTCATCTCTCACAACTAAACTTTCATATTTATACACATAGCAATCAAGCATTTGATAACACCTCAAAAACAGCACTATTGCAGTATTAAAACTTTTTACAAGTGAAATGCATCTTTTCATGCATAGTTTTAGAATACCAAAGTATTTTGTATGTAAAGATGAATGTTTTGGTGTGAGATATATAAAAACATAAGAATTCTCTGCTTCTTATGTAAATTTCCCAATCAAAAACAGATGTTAGGAAATATTTAGGGACTTATGAGTGAAGCATATAATGGAAAGATGAATGAAAAGTTCATACCCGTGACCACGACATGGTGTCGGTGTCGAGAACATCAACTTCACCATGATAACGATCGCCGCAATCGCCACCATATATTAGAAGTTTATTGCCGATGGCAACTGCAGCGTGGCTGTCTCTCGGGGCGGGGGGATCGCCTTTCACCTCCGGCGAACTCCATGTTATCGTCTTAAGGTCCAAAACATGAACATCATTCAAATAATTCGCTTCGCCTTCTCCACTACCTCCAAATATTACCAATCTATCTTCACCCACAAGAGTGGCGGTGTGGCTCTCTCGCGGACAGGGTGGGTTGCCTTTGCTAGTAGGTTTGCTCCATTCCTTGGTTAGAAGATCTAAGATGTGGAGATCATTGACCTTCTTCACACCGTTTGTGCCCCCCAAGACGATCATTTTTTGGCCTACAATGACTGCACTGTGACTATCTCGAGTGCCCGGTTTGTGGCCGGTGGTGGCGAGGGAGATCCAGGTCATTGTCTCAAGATTAAGAGTAAGCACATCACTGAAATGCAATCCACCACAGCATCCCTATGGGAAGAACAGTATTTGGGAAGTAGTTAAGAGTGAGCTTCTTCATGTGATTATTTTTCATAAGATGAGTTCAGAATAGAAGTCTAAAGAAAAAATAAAGGAAATTGTGGCTTGAAGTGTAAGAAGAGAGGGAGAACAATATTAAAATTTTCTGTACTCTGTAGTAAGCTTCAGTCAAGCTCTTATAAAATAACAGAGGCTTTTTATAAAACAAACATGTTCTGAGGCTAATCAGGAAGCTGGTCTTAATGGTTTTGTAGGCTTATAATAGCAGACATGAGAGGTGTTTGGTTTCACACCAAATGCAAGAGAACGACAGGGCAAATCTTTTACTTGTACTGTCTGTTTTTATCTGTTTTTTTTTTCCGAATGACAAAATACCACCCAATTCCTATATATTTGCAAATCTAACACCTGAACTTTGCTTTTTTTCATTTAAAGAAAGTGAAACTGGCATGCTTATGTACAGGTAAAGTGGTATATATAAATGTAAAACTGAACATAGTCATGGTTTCCTTGAAACAATGGGAAAAATAACGAAAGCTATTGTGTTTTTCTCTAAAGTCTAAATAAAATTAAAGACGTTAAATCAAAATAAATAAATAAATAAATAAATAAGAACATTACAGACTTCTTCACCAACTTAATATATTCAAATACGATTTCTAACGTCTGATGGCAAAGAAAAATCGTCAAAAACAACCCTGTTATATGATAAGCAACAGAGAAGAAAAACCTGTGTGGACGTTCTGCAAATTCATAAAGCAAAAAGTAGCCAGAAGTTAAAAGAAGACTTGCAAATAGTAAAAAAGGCAAGAGCACAAGAAAAAGTGAAACTAAAATGAAGAGATTTCCAGAAACTTACACCAAAAACATAAATCACACCATCGGCGAAGCAGGCAGAGTGCCCCCATCTCTCCGGCGGGTTAAATCCGCTCACCTTCGGGTACAGCCACATTGCCTTTCTCCTCTTCACTCCTTCCCCTCCCACCGATCCCATTCTTCCCCAACCAAAAACAACAATAGCAGACCCAAAACCAGCGCAACCCCTCCTCCACCTTATAACCTCCACCCCCACCACACACTGTTCTTGACAAGATAGCAGAAAGACAGCAGAAAGAAGAGAGAGATGTGAGTGTGACTGACAGAGAAAAGATGGGAGCTTTCACGTCGCTCAACCACTGCTGACATAGGAAGAAAGGCCAGAGCTAGTATTAGTTCTTTGAGAAGTATTGACAGAGGAGGAGAGAGTAATGGGAGGAGGAGAGAGAGAGAAGAGGAAGAGAGGAGGGGTGGAGCAGTGTCCAGCATGGGAATGTGGGAGGTGTCACAAATCTTTCATGATGTCGCACTAGTTTGGGTGCACCCATCGCTTTTCTGCACTTCAAACCTGTGTAACTGAAAATGATGGGAGGTGGGGTATGGTGCTGTGGGAAATGTGATTTTGGGGTTTGGTGAGCTGAGTTTTTTCTTTCATCGGAAAGGGAGAGGTTTGCACTGGCTTTTTCCTGCACATTTATGCGAGGCCTGGGCTTTCCAACCGTTTTATTTTGTTTTGCAGAATGCACAGCGAGCTGATGATACAGGAGCCTGTGGTAAGACACGTAGCTGATTGAGTGTAAGAAATAAATGCTTTTCTTACCAACTTTTATGTGTTCTTTTAAAGTCTTGCTTATTACTTTAATGTTGTATTCTTATATTGAAAACAATATTAGTTTTTTTTTTTTTTTTTATTTCACAGATGGATATATAAAACTATATTTTGGAATCTTAACCATGCAACTATTATAGCTCAAGTAGAGTTTCAAGTAAGCATGAAATGTTATTAATGCCAACACAAATTATCATATCGTTCATCACAATTCTTATTTATTTCATTCGATTTTGGAATGTAAACTAACATACTGTGACATAGTGAGATGCCCATTCATCTGTTATTTTTCATTTAATATGATAGGGACATAGGTTGAAAAATCTTATGATTTTGTTGTAGAATGACTGACATCCAGGAGGGGCTGAATTAGTATTTCAAAAATTTTTTATTAATTAAAACATTTAATGTTATTTTAATGCTACTTTAGAAGAATATGAACCCACATAAAATTTAAAAAATGCTCTAGTAAAGTGCATATTAAGATACCACAAGTGCAAGAAAAAGAAATAACATGCACACTATTTTTACGCATCTACTAAATCCCATGTTGCAAACAAAATCACTTCCTCAAATTGGTTAAGTTGCATACAACCTAAGTATTCTCTTACACTGGTGAGAACAACCCATTCTAAATATAATATGATTTTCACTGACTTAGATAAAGATAAGGAAATACATAAATTAAACAAGCTCAAATTATCATACAACAAAATAATCTAATAAAAATTTGAGATGAATTAAGTGTTGTTAATTAATCAACTATAACTTATAAATGGAATGCATATCTTGTTCATTATAAATTATATTTATATTTTGACTTATGTAAATAATATTATTATTACTTCAAACTTTATCTCTTTGCTTTAAAGATATTTCTTAATATCTATTAGATTTAGAAAATAAATTTATATAAAAATAATATAGATTTCATGGTAATTTTATGAGTGAAATAATTTAATCATAAAAATATAATCTGAGATGCTAAATACTCTCAAAGACTTCAAGAAAGTTAATTTGGTCAAGTGCGTAGAGACTTTCAAATCAAGAAATATGATCTCATAAATATGTAAAGCACTTGGAATGAAAAATTAGATTTCTCACCTTAAAATTTTTCTTATAATTTTAAATCAATTTTAATGCATAGTAATATTCAAATATTATTTTATCAATAATAATATAATATTTATTAAAAATTAATTTTTAGCTAGATAATAACTAAGCAAAATGAGTCAACCAAACAAGATTAAAAAGCTCTATGTTTGTGTATAATAGCTAGCCAAATTTGCTTAAAAGAGAAATTGTTTGAAAAATCATATGTAAATTTCATTCTAATTAAAAGTGATACATGTAACCTATCAAATCATATCTGTAGATATCAAAAAATTCAATTGAGTAAAAATAAGTTTAATTTTTTTTTTTGCATAAAATGATATTTAAATAAATACATATTTTATTTATTTTAAGATAATTCTAAAATATATTAATTAAGTTTTTGAAAATATTAAATTAGTAAAAAACTCAAAATAATTTCAAATGTACTGAAGTAAAATAGGCTTATTATTTCTAATATCCCAAGTATTTTATTTTGATAAATTTAATTCAATGCATGAAATATTCAAATTTTGAAATATTATAATTAAATATTTAAAATATATTGATATCTAATTTAAGTGATTATATTAGTTTGTGAGTAAAAGTAAATTATTTTAGGTAAGCTCTGATCATCTTCTAAGAAATTGACCATAACTTATGATCGTAGTGTGATGAGGTTCTCGTATCATTCCTCAAAGTGATATACGAATAATGATAATTTCATGAACAGTTGGTATTGAATTTATGGGCTTACCAAAATACATATTAAACATGAACTCAATTCACCTTGTTTGCCTTAGTCTATAGGTCTAAGGTCTTACTCCCATTGGAAGTGCATATCCCCTCACTAAGATTTGCCCCTCCAAAACAAAACATCTGGTAGCAGTTATAGGAACTCAAAGCTATAGAAGAGACGTTTCTATTAGCCTAGTAAAATCTTAAACTCTTCAAAACCATGAATGGTTCAAGCTTACAATAAGTTTGTTTGACTTAGAATATTTTATGTGTAGAAATTAATCTTAATCCCTTAAAAATACCAATTATTGCGCATCAAAAGATAAGTAGTAGCTTTGAACTAATGTAGAATGGCTTATTTGGGATAGCAAATCTACGTCAAGGATGCTCTTAAAAATCGGTAGACTTTAAGGGTGAACGTTTGTTGCTTCCTATCAATGAGCATTACTTGAAGAACTATTACTCCAAGTATTTTATAGTTGTATAAGAGTGTCCAAATTATTAAAATTTATTTTTGGGACCCTAATTGGAGTTTATTAATCATTATATATCTGAATGTAAATAAAAATTGAATTATCAATATTTTAAATTTAAGATCCAACTTGAATGAAACTTTATTTACTCAAACTCAATTGAACTTCTTCAAATTTCATTAAAACTTTTCAAATTTTAAAAGTTTAAAACCCAAAACTATTTTGGCTCAATAGAAAAAACTCGAACTCTAACTCATAAATGCATTCACTTCACTATTTCTCGGCAGATTGAAATTCTAATTGAGGATAAAAAATTTTCAATCTTAAAGTCGTTAATGAGTTCTGAATGATATTTAGCTCTTCATTCTTGTTGCAGGAAAATATCCTTTTGAAATCTCTTCTTCCCTTTCAGAGACAATGTCAAGTTAGCAATTGACCAAAGTCACTTAATAAGTAACCCAATTATCAAGTTTGGCTCAAATTTTGAGTACTTGGATATACTTTACAACAACCCTCCTATGAAAATATTTGAGCCATAGGAGGTAACTAAAGGAAATCCACTTATCAAGTTCTTGGTAATAGAAGCAAAAGTGCCCCTAGCTTGTGCAAATTCTTTTAGAGCAACCACTAAGTCTCAGCTTAAGTCCATCATTACTAGGACTATTAAGACCAATAAAAAAAAGAGAAATACAAAAATAAGGATAAAGAAGATGTCCACCACAATCCCTAATGAATTCAAAATAGTAGCAGTGGAGTGTACACTAGCTGTGGAGAAGTAGGCACCCATAGAGTTTTCTCAAATAGTCAGAGATAGCAGGTTTAAGCATACCCCCTCCTTCTCCTCATCTATCAAACCTTGTCAGTTGAACCATTACCACAACAACCAGAGCAACCTTCCCATCCATGCCTCTAGATTTAGCCTGACGATCAACTGACAATGTGTGATAGATGAAAAAACAAATTTTTGAGCTTTTTGAGTGGTTGAGAACAGAACAAACAATATACTGAAGAGAGTGCAAATTTACACCTAAGCATTTAATGACTTAAAAGCAGAAGATTACTTAGACTGTATGTGGATTTTGGTTGATGGTCCTTTCATGTACTAATCCTACCCCCTTCATGTACCTGAAATTTGCAGAGTCACTATTTATAAGAATATAGATTGCATCCTAACCCGACCCACAGTTACGTAATTATTTAATTATATATAAAACTATATTTTGGAATCTTAACCATGCAACTATTATAGCTCAAGTAGAGTTTCAAGTAAGCATGAAATGTTATTAATGCCAACACAAATTATCATATCGTTCATCACAATTCTTATTTATTTCATTCGATTTTGGAATGTAAACTAACATACTGTGACATAGTGAGATGCCCATTCATCTGTTATTTTTCATTTAATATGATAGGGACATAGGTTGAAAAATCTTATGATTTTGTTGTAGAATGACTGACATCCAGGAGGGGCTGAATTAGTATTTCAAAAATTTTTTATTAATTAAAACATTTAATGTTATTTTAATGCTACTTTAGAAGAATATGAACCCACATAAAATTTAAAAAATGTTCTAGTAAAGGGCATATTAAGATACCACAAGTGCAAGAAAAAGAAATAACATGCACACTATTTTTACGCATCTACTAAATCCCATGTTGCAAACAAAATCACTTCCTCAAATTGGTTAAGTTGCATACAACCTAAGTATTCTCTTACACTGGTGAGAACAACCCATTCTAAATATAATATGATTTTCACTGACTTAGATAAAGATAAGGAAATACATAAATTAAACAAGCTCAAATTATCATACAACAAAATAATCTAATAAAAATTTGAGATGAATTAAGTGTTGTTAATTAATCAACTATAACTTATAAATGGAATGCATATCTTGTTCATTATAAATTATATTTATATTTTGACTTATGTAAATAATATTATTATTACTTCAAACTTTATCTCTTTGCTTTAAAGATATTTCTTAATATCTATTAGATTTAGAAAATAAATTTATATAAAAATAATATAGATTTCATGGTAATTTTATGAGTGAAATAATTTAATCATAAAAATATAATCTGAGATGCTAAATACTCTCAAAGACTTCAAGAAAGTTAATTTGGTCAAGTGCGTAGAGACTTTCAAATCAAGAAATATGATCTCATAAATATGTAAAGCACTTGGAATGAAAAATTAGATTTCTCACCTTAAAATTTTTCTTATAATTTTAAATCAATTTTAATGCATAGTAATATTCAAATATTATTTTATCAATAATAATATAATATTTATTAAAAATTAATTTTTAGCTAGATAATAACTAAGCAAAATGAGTAAACCAAACAAGATTAAAAAGCTCTATGTTTGTGTATAATAGCTAGCCAAATTTGCTTAAAAGAGAAATTGTTTGAAAAATCATATGTAAATTTCATTCTAATTAAAAGTGATACATGTAACCTATCAAATCATATCTGTAGATATCAAAAAATTCAATTGAGTAAAAATAAGTTTAATTTTTTTTTTTGCATAAAATGATATTTAAATAAATACATATTTTATTTATT